GCTTAAAAAAGAAAACTAATTCAGCCACCACATCTACTGATTGGTAAGCTGCAATATATTACATTTTTGGTTTTTGGGTTAATACCGCCTCAAGAGTACTGAAAGCTGTGCCCTCCTGAGTATAAGCTAAGAATTATATGTTCTATCTTAGATGTTGATTGAAAACAATAAAAATGATCATCTCTTGGAAACCGTGCTTATTGCAAAACATACTTACATTTTTGTGTTTCCGGAAATTATGGGCTTCATTCATAAAAAAGGTGAGACCCATGCAGAAGTTATCTCCATCCAAACGCTTACCTACAGCCAAAACCAATATGTCTATTGTTCGGGAACTCCCAGCAGTATATGGTGCAAACTAATTAATTCCATAGTGAAGATGGTTTCCTGTTGATTGTTCAGACAGTCTTTGATTCATTGGCCTATTTGGCATCATGATTTTTGAAATGCACAGTTTTCACATCTATATGTATTGTAGCATATGTTGGTGAATACAATGAATATATACGTTCACCTTGCAGCATTGCTTTTCAGGCTTGCTTATATCTCCAAGCAGACACAGATGTGAAAGCAGGGTGACTGTATTCTATCATATTCAGCAGAAAATTTCATGTGCATTTTGTATAAAAAATGCTTATTTTGTAGAGCAGACCATGTGCCATTCTGTGTATTGTCTTCTGTATTTAGGAGACCGCTCTTGAGGGACTCTTGTCATTATCCTGCCCCCTTCCACCAGTTCTGTGTTTTTCTGGCGGTGACAAGGCATCCAATCTAGCATAGATTTTGAGCTAACCACAAACCCAGTGACTTCACTTTAGCTGTTGTGTTTGTGTGTGTACTCCACCAACTCTTGCAGCTTTAATTGGTCTCTGGCACGATGACTCTCAAGCATATTGATGGTTGCTGAGACCTTACAAGAAATTCCCAATGTATCTCTGTAAAGTAGTACCCAAGAATACTGAAGGAACCTACTGAAAGTGTTTGACTCTTCTTCCACTTTAAGTGGGAACTGATTTCGATTTTTGGATGTTTTTTTTTCTTTTGATTTTTTCTTTTAATCTAACGTTAGATTGACTTAAGAAAAAAAAACAGGCAACTAAACAAAAAAAATCCACATCCAATTGATCAAATGTACATTATATGCAGGGATGTTGAATTCACATCGCCCGGGACATGCAGTTCTGGGTGCCGGACAGGTAGTGTTTTTTAACTTTTAGCCCTGCAGCGGGCAAGCAGCAGGGGTCACCTCTCAGGAGGAAGCATTCCGGCAGCAGCGCTCTTCCCCACAACCCTGGCCCTGGTTGTGGAGGTGTGCGGGTGGGGGACTTATCGGAATCTGGAAGCAGTCAGATGGCCGGAAGCCAGTGTTGGAAGCAGAGCCTTCTATTTTATTTCTTTTTTCGGGTAGCGGTGGGCATCGTGATTGACGTTGGATCTTCTGCGGGTGACATTCTATTTGCTTTCTTCTTTTAATAAAGGACTTGTGAAAGACTGTCTCCTTTCTTTTTTCACACTACACTTTTTTTTTTGTGAATGGGTAGCGTTACCATGTACCCCATACTCATTCACATGGGGGGTGAGATTTGGGGCCCCCTTGCTAAAGTAGGTTTCCAGATTCTGATAAGCCCCTCACCCGCAGACCCCCATAACCACCGGCCAGGGTTTTGGGGAAAAGGCCTTTGTCCCCATCAACATGGGGACAAGGTGCTTTGGGGGGAACCCCCTCAAAGCACTCCCCCATGTTGTGAGGGCATGTGACCTGGTATGGTTCAGGAGGGGGGGTGCTCGCTCGTCCGTCCGTCCCCCCCCCCCCTTTCCTAACCTGCTGGGCTGCATGCTCAGATAAGGGTCTGGTATAGACCTTGGGTGGGACCCCACACTGTTTTTTCTTAATTTTGGCGTGGGGTTTCCTGTTAAAACCCATAGCAGACCCAGTAGGCTTTTCTATGCCATTTCTATGCAGCTGAGCTGTAATATGTAGGTGGGGTGTTGTGTGTGGGTGTGGCTTTGCCTTTAGTGTAGGCATGGGGGCCCCATTATCTCTTATTACCCTGGGGCACCATGAGCTGTCAGTCCGCCCCTGCTGGGATGTATGGCATAATTTGCCTTGCATGGAAACCAGGAAGTAATTGAATAAATGTTAAAAAAAAAAAAAAGTTTAAAAACAGTAAATCCATTTACTAATACTTACAGCATAAGGATTTAAAATAGTCAACGTAGATTGATTGAGTGAAGTTCTGCTTCAAACAGTTGGATCAACAGCTGAAAATAAAAAAAAACGCCTATAGAAAAAAAACTAACTCCGTCATCTGATCTAAGAATTGGTAAGCTGCAATATAATACATTTTTGGTTTTGGGTTTAATACCACTTTCACTTTGCTTTGAGAAGTGCTACTTGGGTTACCGTTAGGAGTACATTTTGAAATATTTTACATCTTTTATACACAGCCACAGAGTTACTGAATGATGGGTTAGCAGTTACTAGTCATAGAAGAACATATCACAGATTGTGTCTCGGGTTTCCATTACTGTTTTGTTTATCTGTAGATGTGTTGGCTTGCCGGAGTACAGCACAGAATGCTGCTTTTTTGCAGCAGTCAGAAGACATTGCCTCATGTTTATTTACGGAACTTGTCAGGTTTGTGTATTGGGTTTAAAAAGTAGTGGCAGCAGAATTGTGTACTGCACAGTGAAAGGACCACTTGTGTGACTGACTAGAACAGAGGGTTGCATTGTCTGTCAAAACATCATTTTCCAAATCTAAATAAATAGAAAACCATTTAGTCAATAGGAATAGATTGATTGCAGGGAGTGGATCTGATGACATAATGAAGCAGGCGATCAATGATTTACTGTAAAACTGTTATAGTTCAGCTTTGATTTGAAATGTAAATGTTTTCTCTGTTTCTCTTTAGAGTCCCCACACTCTTATGTGGTTTTTCATAGCACAGGATTTTTCTTTTATTTCAGTGGATTCTTGAAGTTTCTTCTGCACAAGGAATATTTTGGCACAATAAATATATACCACATTAAAAATTTTACTAAAAGTTAAAATATATGTAAACCCTCACCTTGTAAAGCAACCCATTCAATTTATAATAGAAATGAAAGGCAACATTTTTGTGTATAGATATAAAAAAAAAACATTTTTTTTTTTTCCCCTTTGATCACCTAATCTCTGTTCCCAGCTGCATAAGGAGCTTAGGGAGGAGAAACAGCAGCACATTGGTCTTCCCAGTAAATGGCTGTGCAAGGCTGGGTGTCAGCACACACCTGATCATTGGAAGAGAGCAGGCTGAGTTCCAGCACAGCTAGAAAACTGACCACTCTGTGCTCTCTCTCTTGCCTACTGTGGTCAGCTTTTATTAGGAAAGCTGAGTGACTGGCAGGAACACCAGGAATTTCACACAAAGGAAACATTACAAGGAGAACAGGATCTTTTTTTCATACAGGTACATGGCACAGCAGGCATATCTCAAGCTTATGAAATATTGGGTTTACATATTCTTTAAATTGGAAAAAAGAACACTACCCAGTTTAAAGGCAACACTATTTTCATTAATACTCATGTGCTTTCTATTTTATGTCTGATCATTTCTTTGTGAGTGGGCAAACATTCAAAATCAGCAGGGGATCAAATACGTGTGTGTGTGTGTGTGTGTGTGTGTGTGTGTGTGTGTGTGTGTGTGTGTGTGTGTGTGTGGTGTGTGGTGGTTGTGTGTGTGTGTGTGTGTGTGTGTGTGTGTGTGTGTGTGTGTGTGTGTGTGTGTGTGTGTGTGTGTGTGTGTGTGTGTGTGTGTGTGTGGGCGCGCGCGGGCTCTGCTTTTTTATGTCACAACTCAAATATTATCCCCAAGTGTTAGGGTCAGAAGAGCAATCATAGCAACGTCCCCAACTTTAAATGTACAACAAAAAATAATTCCAATGAGTATATATCTCTCTTTTATTTGTACAACTAAAATATGCGATTTTGTGAAAAAAAGTGACAGTTGTGTGAGAGATTACATTTGATGAGTTGGTTAAGGTTTAAGTTGTAATGACTTTCAGTCCCCCACACTAAAAGGTCTATACTTACCTCCTCTGGTTGCAGCTGGTAAACGTCTAGTGCCAGGTTGCTAGCATTTGCACACTAATGTCCTACATTTGAATTGGATGTTGTTCATGCTATACAAGCAGGGGCAGACTGACCATTTGGAAACTCGGGCACTGCCCGAGGGCCTGGGGCCAGTAGGGGGCCCCATGAGATGCCCCTGGTATCCTTTTCATAGGCTTTTTTGAGTTTGGGCAAGGACACAGGGGCCCCATGATCCCCTATTGAGGGTTTGGGGTCAGTAGGGGGCCCCATGAGATGCCCCTGGTACCTTTTTCATAGGCTTTTTTGAGTTTGGGCAAAGGACACAGGGGCCCCATGATCCCCTATTGCCCGGGGGCCCCATGAGTTGTCAGTCCGCCTCTGTATACAAGTATGTCTCATTGATGTCTGTGGGGCATTATTGCTAAGATGCGGGTCGCACTAGATTTTTACTGGCCAGGCGGCAGGCTTTACAGGAGCCCACAGCCCTAAAGGGAGATAAGTACTGACCCTGAGGGAGGAGTAGACCTAGTGATGTGTTGATTTTCATCTGGTGACCTAACCACTAACACACCTCCTTTATCAGAGTGTCTACACTGCAGCAGAAGGAACACGGGGCACCTTTGGACAGCAGCATTGGCAGTCTAGTTGGAGAGGAGTGTTAGATGAACTAGCAGATTTAGATACACTAACAAATTGAAGTTGAACTCCAGCTCACATTGCAGTTACACAAGAGGATACAGTAACAATTTTTTTTTACTAATGGGATAAAGGTTTTACATAAAAGCTGATCATTATAAACCCGTCAGTAGTAAATGGTTTGTCATAACACTCTAAACTAATGAATTTGTAGGAGAAATAAAAAAAAAACAATATATCACCGCACTACCACACCTTAAATACCTATTAATATGTATCCACTCACACTGTATTCACTTCATGATAAATAAAATGAAAAATAAAAAAAAAGCAAAAAAAAAACTAAGTGAAATCTTGTTGTTGCCTACCACTGCAATGTGTTCCCACACCAACAAACAATGAAAATCAATAAAAGTGCAGCGTAACAATTCAATAGCATACAATACATAAATACAAACTAAAATACCATTAATATAATAGCATAAATGTAAAATTAGTGCTCTTAATCAATCTGTGACAAAAAAAACCCCAACATTTCTGTGAGAAAATCAGGGGTAAAAGTCCACACATTAATTTTAATGTGACGCCATCTTGCATCGGTGATTATGTAAATTATCCTTGCATTCCACCTCTGTGCACTTTCACCTGCCTCCTCCGCTGGCTGTTACCTTCACACCATGACCCACCTATCAGTAATGGTCAGAAAACGCTTTCCCATATATTGGACAAAAATCTCTCATAGCGTAATATGCTTCCACTAAGAATTCCTTTATTATATAGGTTAAAATGATACTCCAAAAACAAGTGCACTCTCCATTCAGTGCACTGAATCTAATGCACCAGAAACTTTTAAGACTATCTTCAATGTGGACATCCACAGGAGAGGTATGGTAAAATAGCAACTCTCATATTACCGGGCACGCTGACGTCACATGAGTGTCACGTGTACCAGTCTGATGTGTTTCGTCACTCCGCACAGGAACTTCCTCAAAGGGACCTCATAGGGTTGAACTAGCAGATTTAGATACACTAACAAATTGAAGTTTCACACTGCAGTTACACAAGAAGTTACAGTAACAGTTTTTTTTTTCTAATGGGATAAAGGTTTTACATAAATAAATAATATCTGATCATTATAAACCTCTGTCCATTGTACATGGTTTGTTTCAACACTCTAAACTACTACATTTGTAGGAGAGCTTGTTCTGTTGAAAAACAAAAGACTTACTGGATGGATCACCAAATGAACGTAAAGGAAAAAAGTCTAAAAAAGTATACTAATGCAGCCATCACATCTAAGAATTGGGAAGCTGCTGTATAATACATTTATTTTTTGTAAATGGGGTGGAGTTTGGGGTTGACTAATACATTGTTTGAGAAAACAAATGATAAAGGGCCTTGGCCATTTTTCATCCAGTAAGTGCAAAAAAAAAAAAAAAAAAAAAACAGTGCTGCTACCCATGAGTATTGTATTAATAGAGCTCATGGGTGCTTGATCTGCAGTTGTACATCTGAAAGTAATAGTCCATAAAGATGATATGCACAACTGGCGTTGCTCTAAAATCCTGCTTTTATTCAGAAAATCACAGTGTACAATACGTAAATGCAGTCAGTTGACGTGTTTCAGCCTTCACGGCCTTAATCATTTTTTTTCATCCAGCCAGCTGTGATTTTAATTCAGATTAAAGTGGAACTTTATTCAGAAAATTTACTCCTGCAAGATCACTTCAGGTTGGCCCCTTATGCAGGTGTAACTATGTAAAATAAGTGCCTATACTGTTTTAAAATCCAGTGATACACTCTCACCCTGCTCTGCACATGCTCAGTTGATCTCCATTTTTAGGCACTGCTGAATCTGTAGAGGCTGATCTCCTGACAGCCTTAAAGTGGGATTAAACCCTTCCTAACCTAGACAGCCAAGGAAGCTGCTTCTCGTTGATTTGATTAGATTAGATTGTACACCCCTTGAGGGTTAGGGACTGATGTGAATGTACAATATATATGTAAAGCGCTGAGTAAATTGATGCCGCTATATAAGTACCTGTAATAATAATAATTTGTAACTGCTATGGTGCTGCACATGTGATCAGTTATGATTGCAGCCATTTGACAGTTTGGTTGAGGACACAAGCAAAATGTTACAGTTTGAAATTCCGGGTTCCAGGGATGTAACTGTTTTTTAAACCGTCAAATTGATGGATTTATGCAGGCCATAAACGGTTCGTTTATCGGCCTAAAAAGAAAAAATCGGTCATTCTGTTGCCACCAAAGATTGCGAAAATCGGCCATTTTCCGCAAATTTTCCAGCATGACGACCGATAAAAGAAATTAGGAGGAACCGCGAAAATCGGCCGATGACATTGCCCCACTAACGGTGCGAAAATCGGCTGATTATTCTTTCGGATGAAAAATTGGCCGATAAACGTACCGTCTATGGCCTGCATTAGTTCTGCATTATGATTTACTGCTGCTCAGGAGTTCTGGGCTTCAGCAAAATGGCAGCTTCAAGCAAGAAGAAACAGGAGCAACACTGGAGGCAATTTACAGCACGCAGTCATTTTGGTAGCATAATTACTAGTGTAGAATGTATGTTCTTTGCTAAAGAACATTCTTTTTTATCAAGTTGTTATGGGTAAAGTTCTGCTTTATGTAATAAGTGGATCTTCATCCATAACATAACATCATGTGTGGATTTTGGCAATGACAACACACATTTACATTTTGTAAGTAGATTCTCAATAAAAATGAATGCAGTGTTCAGTTTAGGCCTTCTCCCATGTGTTTCACATTACATTAGTATACAATAAAATGTATCCTCCTTCTTTGTCATAAGCTGCTTGGTAAAGTTTGCTCTGCTGAGCAAGTTAAAGTAGTTTTCCATGTGGCAAATCTTTTCTTCCTGCCATTTTTCTATTTTAAAACTACTTTGACATACAAGCATATATAAGATTTGTCAGCTTACTTCATCTCAGGAAAAAACTGACAGATCTTTGATTGTGTAAAGCATTACCTGCTGGGATTTAGGCACACTGCAAGAGTTTGGCAGAAGGGGAAGGGTCAGTAGAGAGACATATCCATTGTCAAGCAAGAGCAAACTAATGTTTCCTATTGTCTCCTTGAGAGTGAAAAAGCCTTTCAGTACTTAAAGATTAAACTAATCTGTTCTTCCTGTTGCAGCCAAACGGAACAGTTGAAACGCGAGCAATAGCAAGGCTAGCCACACACCCTCTGTTGAAGCAGAAAATATCTACTATCAAAGGTAAGCTAGCGAAAGAGAATTCTTTAAAGTTAAAATACATTTTCAATCATTTTTATTAAAGGCAAATATAGTGCAGTATTTTGCTGCTTAACCACTTGCCGTCCGGCTGCTGCTGCTATGTAAACGGCCAGACGGTGGCAGTCCAGGGGCGGGTTGCCATTCATAAACGGCACCCGCCATTTTGGACTGTGTGTGCTCCCTGGGAGTGCTCAACACCGCGATCCGATGCCCGCTGTGTCCTCCAGACACACTGAAACACCAATCGTCGTACAGGACCTCTGTGCAAGGTCGCGATCATGTGATCACTGATTGGCCAATCAGTAATCACATGCAGAGTAGTAAGCAAGATGTCCCTTCCTCACATCATTGCTTACTATGTGTGAAATCTGTGAATGATCACAAAGGTCACGTGTGCACATGATGCAGGGGGGTCTATTCACAACAGCCTTGTACCATGTGACAAGCTGTGACCAATCACAGCTCACACAGTATTTCTCAATGGCTGCAAGAATGAGAGAAGGAGAAATGATTGCTTTTACAGCCTTTATGGGTGGAAAAGCAATCAGTGTAAAAAAAAAAATAAAAAATCTCCATCACCCCCCACAAGTAGTACAGTGTCACCATGGTGACACTGTACTGCTAGGGTGACAAAACATAAATAATAATATAAAAAAAAAAATTTAATTATAATTTTTGGTTATAAACTAATTTGGGATTTTTTTTTTTTTTTACTAAAAAGATAACTGAATAAATTTTGGCCAAGATTAATGATGAAATATTATTTATTTGCAAAATTTTATAAGAAAAACACTTTTTCAACATTTTTGGACTTTCATTTATATAGCAAAAAAATAAGAATCCCAGTGGTGAATAAATACCACCAAAATAAAGCTTTATCTGTCTCCAATACAATGCTAAAAAATTCATATGAGTACAGTGTTGCATGACCGCACAATTGTCAAAGTGTGATAGCACTGAAAGCTGAAAATTGGCCTGGACAGGAAGGGGGTGAAAGTGTCTGGACTTGAAGTGGCTAAAGTTGCTCAGTAAATAATTATTGTGCATAGCAAGTGCTAAATCTAACTCAGGATATTTTATGGACAATCTCTGAAAGCCGATGCATTCACAGCTGTCAGAATGCCCAATCGGCTGATGTATCTGATTATCTGCCATTTGGTTGAAAATCTTCACTTTTCCCCTTTTTTTATTTTTTTAACAGCAGAGCCACCCATGGAGAAAAATTAAGCCAGTTCATCAGGATCCAGCCAAAATTTGCATAGTGTATGGCCAGCTTTAGTCATCTACCATTATTCTTACTAACAAAAAAATGCCATGCAAAGTCTTCCCCAGTCTAGTACTGCCCTAAAGTATTACTGACAGGCTTAGAATAATGGTATAGACAAAATGTAAGAGAATCATTAGAGGTGGTATCTACTGATCTTCTCACAGTTAGGGCTCATGCAAAGTGGGATTAAAAAATACATACATAGCCATTTACAGGTGTATTAGAAGAGGAGCAGTACTGTAACATAAATTTGTATGAATGCGCTGTGGAACTCTTGAATAATAAAAAGTGTAAAACGTCTTTGATAGTGACGTTTAAAGTGCAAAAGGTGACATATAATAAATAGACTATAAAATCACCAAAATAATAATAAAACGTCCAATAATAACATAGGTGAAATCTGTGACTCCCGTGACTGTGAATGAGTCTGGCAAACCAGCAGCAGGACAGGTGATCAGCGTGTCATCACTCTCCAGGTAACATTACTCATCCATCCTCAGGGGGTCACAATATAGGTGTCATAGATACTAAGCCATCCAGCAGGGAGACCTGAACACATGTCCTATGAACAGTTCATATTTATTATATGTCACTTTTTGCACTTTAAACGTCACTATCAAAGACATTTTACACTTGTTATTATTCAAGCGCTCCACAGTGCATTCATACGAATTTATGTTACAGTACTGCTCATGTTATCATTTTAATCACAACGCTGCATTGTTTGACAGATTTTACACCAAAGGTTCAGAGGTTATACCTTTATGCTAGCTGCTCATTATTTATTTCCTAGCGCTCGTTTACCCCCCCCCCCCCCCCTTTTATACCATTAGAAGAGGAGTGTTTACAGACAGAAAAAAAATCACCAGTGCCTTCAGGAGTGGAGCTTTTGGGCAGAAAATACAATCTGTACATTGTATTTATGACATGTATTGCATAATAATGTGTTAATGTGAATGAACAACCGCCATGTAACACCATGAAAATGATATATAAATGGAGGACAGGTGGATGAATGATCGCTTTTCATTCATGGACTACAGTTTCTGTAAATCGAGGAGAGGGAAGAAATGGCAGGCATAGTGGGCACTCTTGATGAATGCCTGTTACAGGTTTCTTAACTCTTTCAACCCCCACAGCATCAGAAGATTACCGCTGCTGGGGTAGGGGGGATAAGTGGACTGAAGATTTTACCTAACGCAGCAGCAATCAGCACAAGCGACACATTGCATTGAGAATAAGTATTGTCCCTTGTACTGATTTTTTTATTAAACTTTGGTTTTGAATCAGTATGTGCAGAATAATTCTGATTGATAGCTGTGGGTTAATGCATGCTGCATGTAGCATTTTACTTAATACATCTGCTAGTATGGTGTACTTTAATTTATGTACATGTTTGTAAGTAATATTTAGATTTAGACCTCTACTAAGTAGATGCATTACTATTTGTAGATTTAGGTAGATCTGTTGGAAAGTTTAAGCATTTGTTAAAGTAATAAATCTAAATGTCTTTACTTGGCAGATTCAAGGCTTTTTCTTCCTCAGCCTTCTTCAGTGTCTATTTTTCATTTTTCTTTCCATTCATTATTTTGTTTTCTCCTAGTCCCTGTCGGTCATAACCTCTGTACTATTACTATTCCTGTCACGTACTGCTTGCTCCTCTGTGGAATTTTCTTGTATGCATAGTTATTGAATGCCTGCTCAATTTATGGTCCATGTTCAACTCTCTTTCCTTTCTTTTTTTACTTTCCAATTATGTCTATGATTAGATCAGCTTGATTCTTATGATACTGCATTATAGTTTCCTTTCTTGTCAATTGACTTCACTGGAAGTATGTTCTGATTTCATTTTCTCATTTTACAGTCCATACACAATATTTATTTTATTTATTCTAACATACATTAGATACACATGGCCATTCTAGGGCAGGATAGCTCAGGCAGTGTTACATTTTCTATAAATGATACAGATATCCATAATTTTTTTCTTTATAACTCAGACCTGCAGAAATAATGTGCATAAATCACGTTAGCCAAACCAAGAATGTTGTGGGGTTTTTCTTTTTTATTTTACTATACTTATGACTGTAAGAGACATTTTGACCTTAAATACAATAACTATTTTAACATGGAGATGTTTTCCTGAAGTAGTAGTGGGAGTTTCAGAAAGGGTATGTTCTACTAGGAACAAAGCATTTGTGTGAAGGTAAAATGAGACTACATTAAAGCAAAAATCTAGTCTGCACTGTGATGTATAGAACTTAACTTCTTGCACATTATAGCACAATTTCAGGTTTTCAGATAATTTGGCAGGTAAACAAGTAATACGGTATATATTTAAACTGCCTGTTTAGCGCTTTGCCTTTGGTTGATTTGTTCTACAGAAGTATACAGTGGTTGCAGCATCATAATATATAATTGTATGTTAATGTGTCATTATGTGTATAAACCCTACCAATCTTTATTTTAGATGCTGTCAAAGCTTTTAAAGAAGCCAGAAAAATTGCTGTGGAGCAGGAGGCTAAAACTGAAGAAACAAACAAGCGTGATGAGGCTGTACAAATTGTGAGAACAGACAAAAATAAACAGAAGAAAACAAAACGGAACCAAAAAGCAGAAGACTCAAAAAGAGCAGAGGACAAATCTTTAGACAATCCTCCATGTGAATTACACTACATAAAGAGACTGATTTTGTTGCTAGCAATCAGCGACATGAGGAGAACATTCTTGATTCTCAAAATGGTCTTAAGCAAACTTCACCCACAGTACCTAATGCTGAAAGGAAAATAGTAGAGGGTGTCCCAGAGAAGCCAGCATCAGTCACAGTTCCTAAAGTATTGGCTGAAAAGAAACCAGTGGTAGGTGTTCCAGAAAAGCAAATGTTAGAAAATAAAATTGAGAACAAAAGTAGACTTGTAAAGAAAACTCCAGTACGTGAATCTGGCTCTGACTCCAGTGATATTGAGGACTCTGATAACGAAGACAAGGAGTATTTTGATGACAGTACAGAAGAAAGGTTTTATAAACAGAGCTCTGGTTTTGAAGACAGTGATAGTGACAATGAGGATGACTTCTTTATAGGAAAAGTGAGACGAACAAAGAAAAAAAAGTCAAGCAAAAAACCTCCTGCAGATAAAGTTGAAGAGAACCTTCCAGCAGAAACCACAACACCCTCAGCTGGAGGTATGGAGAGTCAGAAAGGCAATCCAGCTCCCAAGACTGTAAAATTGGAGTCTGTTTTTTGTACTTCCTTATCAAACACAAAACAAAAATCTTCATTTGTGAAGAGGTAAGTTACAGTATTATCAGTGAATTTAAAGAATAAGGTATATTGGTTCTATAGTACTTATTTCTTACAAAATGACATAACATGGGTAATGGCTATATACAGTAACACTTTTTTGTAGTTGTCCTGAAAGCAATATGAACATATCTTGCCTTGTTAATGATAATATATTCTGTTCCTGGCCATCATTAATTGTGCATGAACACGCCCAAACACACCATGTCTGAATACATATCATCTCACTGCTCTTGGTGCAAAATACATCATCAAAAACGCAATGTAACTAGTTCTGTCAGTGAACAATTGTACCTGTTTATACCCAAATGTATGTGCTTTCAGTAGTATAAGGAGACATTGAGCTGTGGCTGCACTTAATAGTAACTTGCAGAGTGCCTAATTCTCATATTCATAAAAGCAGTTTTGTCAGCTTTGTTGCCTTTTTTTTAACCACCTTTCACCCCCTTCAATACCAGGCCATTTTTTAGTTTCCATCACTGTGATACTTTAAATAAAAATCACTTAACTTATACGACAGTATACCCTAATGTACTTTACATCATTTTTTGAGACTGCACTTTCTTTTAGTGGTATTTAATAATTACTTATTTTCTGTTATGAAACACAGCATATAAAATACCTGGGCAATATGAAACCCCAAAAATTACCTCGTTTTGGAAAGTAGACATCATAAGTTGGTCTTTTGCCACAATTTTTTGGAAATGAAGAAACATGCGGGTTTTGAGGGGGTTAAAACATATAGCTTGGTAATCTTACACTAGATACATTAAATGTACAGGCCATACACAGAGATTAGGAGGTAAAGGGGTTAATGTACGGGTCACAATCAGTGGGAGGATGGAGATAAAATGGTTAATGTACAGGATAAAGTAGGTAAGTGCTTACTATACAGTTCAGATCAAAGACAGGATGGGACTGACTTATACATGAAAGAGATAAATGACTTTAGAGTTGGCTTTTAATATTGTTGGCACTGGTGCTGGCTGGTAGGAGGCTTTCTTTCCTCTCACATACTGATCAGTGTGTGTGACAGTGAAGAGTGCTTCCAGATCACCTGCCAGTAAGTGAGACCTGGCTGCTTAACAACAGCCTTTTTGTACATTCTGTGATAATGTGATTGGTCATAGCAATCACGTTGTACAGAGCCACTCTCATTTGTCCTGTGCCTTTTGCTTGCAATCTGCTGTGTCCAATCACAGTGCAATCACAGAACTCTGTGTGCAGGTATGCACAGGAGCGCATAATGGTACAGGGAGTTGACCTGTCCTATATGTATATTGGCAGTATGGGGGTTTCATTTCTGACCTCCTTCTAAAAAATGCCAAATGCCTGGTTTTTTCTACGGATCCTTGGTTTTTTGCTGATCCAGAACAAGTATTAATAGCAGAAAAGTCAATGTCACTAGTCCTCATTTGCATACTCAATCTAGGATAGTCATTTAGTATCCAAGCCAGAGATATCCAGAATGACAACCAGGCAAATTGAGAAGTCAGCAATGGAAGCCTCCAAGGTTTTCTATAATTTCACTTAATATCATCTTTTATTTTCTTTTGTTTTTATTTCTTTAATTTTGTCTTTAATTCTCTCTGTTGCACTATTACTTGCTGTAATTATTATGGAGAGGTTATTCAAAACTTTGAAAGCCACATTGAGCAGACAAATTTAGCAGCCAAAAGGTACTCTAATACTTGTGCTTCCATTGTCTACAGTAGAAAAGGTGAAATAATGTTAGATACTAGCTGTACTGAACAGCCAAAATAAATAGCAGAAAAATGAGTTCAGGGGACATAACTTACAGTCCGTAGGATGTGTCCCTTGTGCTGATGCCTCTTCTTGGGCTTTAAGGCATGTCTTTTGACACACTTGTAACATTACCATATTAACATATGATATTTTCTTTCAGAGAGCCAAAATTACCTCCTTTAAGGAATAAGAAAGCAGGTATGTTGCATGCTGTTTTTTTCTTGATATGTACACTACGATTTTCTGAGGCTACCAGAATAATTCTAATGCAGGTTACTCACAACCATTGTAACATTTGGGTGTTCTGTACACAGTAAAACATTAAATCTGAGCTTTTGTCTATCTTAAAAACGGGTGGAACATGTAACATGTTCCCAAAGGTGGACTTATTCTTTAAAGACTACCCTAACTCACTTTTCTCCTTAACTGCCTGTCGAATAGAAACATTACTTAGTGGCTCTAAAGGCAGAAGGTGTGTTACCTTAATGCATTCTCTGCATTGAGGTAAAAAACGTTCTGCATTTAGCTCTCCAGCCCCCCTCCCTTATACATACCTGTGCTCGATCTCGATCCAGTGATGTTCACAAGTGCAGAGGTTCTCTAGGGTATCCCTCTCCTTATTGGCTCAGACAGAGCAACTGGAGCCATTGGCTCTTGCTGCTGCCAATCACAGGCAGTGAGGAGGGAGAGTAGGTGGGCGGATGCTCGCCCTACTATATGTGTCTTACGGACACACACAGCTGGCTCCAAAGCAAGCCTGCGTGAGAGCCCCCATAGCAAGTGGCTTTCTATGGGAGCACTCGGCAGCATAGAGGGAGGAAACAGGAGCACCGGCGGGGGGCGTGAGAAGAGAAGGATAGGTGCTTCTTTGTGGAAAACTATGAAGCACCTATAAAGAAGACACCCATACATCTGTTTGTTGGGGGTTTTTTTGGGCGGGGGTTTACAAGTTCATGTTGTTGGCTCAATTTAAAAAAAAAAATGGAAATAAGGAGATAATTATATAATAGACAAGAAAAGTTCCCCTTAACAGACATATATGTCATCAGGGAATATCAATTCTATTACATGGTATCAGTGTGCAAAAATAAATATCTTTATTATTAATTTAAAACATTTAAATACCTGTATCATAGTAACATCACAAAATAGTTCAAAGTGTTCTTCAAAAAATCCTCAAATAATTAATCCAATGCAGGCAGGATCTTAGATATAAAATAAGAAATTTGCAGGGTGTGCGAGCCACCCCAGTAAATGTACCCATAAAATAATTATTTGATTCTCAATTCCTTTAAGGAATCGTCCTGGGTATATTGGCTGTCCTGGCATACATTGACAACCGATAGCACAAATGTGAAGTGCTTCAATATATAGTAGTTATTGAGACTAAATGGGTATCATGCAAAAACACTGATTTCCAGATATTTATGTCAACTGCATTGAGAACTGATTATTTGTACTGCTCATCATATCTTATATACATTGCATCCCAAGCTATTAATATGTCCCCTAGTATTTTGTAAGTTCAGGCAAGAATGAGGCAAGGTGCATGCTCATAAGCCATGGATATTAGCAGGTTATACACCATTGCTATAGTTAACTAATCTCAACCAAAGACACATGATGCCTTTTAATACCCCAACATACATTATATGTTATAAATACATGATAAAACTCATATGTCACCTCAGAAAAATTTATTTTTCTTGTTTTGTATACAGATAACGTGTAATAGAACTGATATTCCCTGGTAGACATATCTCCAATAAAGGGAACAGTTCTTGACTATTGTATATTTTCAGAAGTTGACTAGTCCCCCTTCAGTCTGAAATTAACGAAAGATATGAAAACAATCAAATATCATGTTAGCCCAAACAGACTTTGTTGGGTTAAGTAACAGAGGAAGAAGACAAGAGTACCTCAAAGTGTAAAATTTTAGTGACTTTAATAGGAAAAAAAGTTAGGCAACTCACTTGATGAAGTAAAATAACAGGCTTATCAATATAACCAGTGGTAACGTGACCGTCAGTTCACAGAGAGTGGGCGCTGTGGAGAACCGGGTATGCACCTGGCATAGAGCGATGAAGCCAGCCAGGCACCTCAAAGTCACTAATGTTTTACACTTAGATGCGCTGTTTTCTTCTTCCTCTGTTACTTATAGTATTTCAGAACCAGTTTTTGCTCATACCTACAGTATGCCTGCAGTGGATGGACTTTTACTTCACCCAATATTCCATACCGGGCTTCCTTATAAATCTCCTAACTAGCATGGCCAGACAGGTCATTAGAATGAGTGTGGAAGTAAATTCTTAGCACAATTTTCAATTGAAGCAGTCTACTACCAGGGAAGCAGATTCACCGAGGGTAGGGGCATATTTCAAAGACAGTTACCATGAAAAATGTGCTGTTACTTCACTTCTGTTCTCTAACACAGAAAATGTATATACTTGGGTCATATGTAGAGGCCAATAGGTTTCCACAATATTAGGATCTATTTACAGAGATGTGTTAATTATTTTATTTGATGACTACTGTTTCCTAAAACTGTTCAATTCAAAAACAGAAATATCACTTTGTATGGAATACAGTGTTAGAAAATAACTATTAATAACTATGAATTGGTAAAAAAGAAATCACTTGCATTTTGTCACATACAGTCATGGCCAAAAATATTGGCACCCCTGCACTTCTGTCAGATATTGCACCACTTGTTGAAATTGTTGAAATTACAAATGGTTTAGGCATTCTCATGTTTATTTCTTTTGTTTGTATTGGTATGACACAAAAAAGTGGAGAAACAAAAAGCCAAATCTGACACATTCCACGCAAAACCCCAAAAATGGACTGGGCAAAATCATTGGCACCTTCTCAAATGATAAGAAATAATTGCATTCCATGTTTGTGATGCTTCTGTACTTTGTAATTGAACTCACCTGTATCAATTAACAGGTGCTGATAATGTAGAAATCACACCGGCAACCAGTTAAAATGGTGACAAATTGACTCAATCTTTTTGTTGTGTGTCTCTGTGTGCCATATGGAGCATGGAGAAGAGAAAGAACAGGAGAGAATTGTCTGAGGATTTGAGAACAAAAATTGTGGAAAAGCGTAGACAAGGTTAGAAGTCTATGTCCAGAAATCTTAATGTTCCTGTGTCCACTGTGCGCAACATTGTCTAGAAGTTTACAGCCCATGGCACTGTAGCTAATCTCCCTGGACATGGACGAAAGAGAAAAATTGATCAAAGATTGCAACGAAAGATTGTTCAAATGGTGAATAAAGAAACTCGATCAACTTCCAGACAAATTCAAGCTGACCTTCAGGCACAGGGTACAACCGTGTCAACTCTCACTATATGTCACCATCTGAATGAAAAGGGACACTATGGTAAGAGACCCAGGAGGACCCCACTGCTGACACAGAAACAGAAAAGCCAGATTGGAGTTTGCCAAAACTTACCTGAGGAAGCCTAAATCCTTTTGAGAGAATGTACTGTGGACAGACGAAATAAAAGTACAGCTTTTTTGGTAAAGCTTATCATTCTGTTTTCAAAAAAAGAAATGTGACCTTTAAAGAAAAGAATACAGTCAACATGGCGGGGGTTCACTGATGTTTTTGGGTTGCTTTCCTGCTTCATGCACTGGATGTCTTGACTTTGTACATGAATATGAAATCTGAAGACCACCAAAGAATTCTGGAATGCACTGGCTCCAGTGTCAGGTCATGGGTCTTACAGTAGGACAATGACCCAAAACACACGTCAGAAGCACCCAAAAATGGTTTCAGACAAAGCGCTGGAGAGTTCTGAACTGGCCAGCAATGAGACCAGATCCAAATCCCATAAAGCACCTGTGGAGAGATCTCAAAACAGCAGTTGTGAAAAGGAACCCTTCCAATCTGAGAGATCTGGAGCAGTTGGCGAAAGAAGAGTGGTCCAAAATTCCACTAGAGATGTGTAATAAACTCATTGATGGTTACAGGAAGCGATTGATTTCCATTATTTTTTTACAATTTATTTTTCAATAAATTGAGGGTGCCAATAATTTTTCCTTTCCATTTTGGGGGTTTTGTGTGGAATGTGTTAGATTTGGCTTTTTGTTTCTCCACTTTTTGTGTCATACCAATACAAACCAAAGATATAAACATGAGAATGCCTGAACATTTATAATTGCAACAATTTTCTGGGTGAAGTGGTGCATTATCTGACAGAAATGCAGGGGTGCCATTATATTTGGCCATGACTGTATAAGAAAAAAGCAGCTAATGTGTAAAATCTAGGGCATTCTTCAAATGCTTTACATAAAGTAATGTTCTTGTTTAGTTTTTCAACAGGCACCCAAATTGGTAAAGAAACCTCAAGCTGCCAGAAACAGCATGGTGAAGTCACAGAGTAAACCAGAGCCAGCTCTTCACCCTTCATGGGAAGCCAGCAGAAAACGCAAAGAGCAGTCTCAGATTGCCATATTCCAAGGAAAGAAAATTGTATTTGATGATTAGGTTTTATAATGAAGCTCCAGATAAGTTTTTTTCTGTGTTTTAGATAGTGGTGAACGGTTACAACCTCTCTTTCTGCTATCCATAGTGTCCCTATTGATGACACAAACCACTGTCATTGGTAAAAGAAGTAAATAAAAATCTCTTAAGTAGGGATCAATGAAAGCCTAAAAGAGTTTCTAATCCTTCTCCACACATTCTAAAACTAAAACAAGTAAATTAAAAAGCTGTAAATTTTATATAAAGTTACTGTCTATTTCCAGTAAATTATGTTATAATAACATTTTGTTTTTGTGTGTTTTTTTTTTTTTTTTTGTTTTTTTTTTTTTTTTTTTTACACAATGTATGTCAGGGCAATATAAAAACATATTCAGTACATCTCTGCAATACATACACATTTTCCCATGTTTTATTACTTTTAAGACCTTGCAGGCAGGACAGAAATTCAGTCAGCCCCTAATTTCTTGTTGTGGACTGACAGCACAGTGTCCTTGCTGCACTGAAATTGAAAGAGATGGCATCGGCCCTGCCCAGTCAAGGTGATGAGGAGGTGTTTTGTAGTTCAATGGAAGCTCTGGGGAGGGAGGGGGTTGGGGGGGAAAATTAGATTCCTTAAGATAACACAGGCACAGGACACATAACAGCTCAGAATTTCTGACATGATCAACAGAATATTTTTGCACTTAGCGAACACATATAACAAAACACCTTTAACCACTTCAAGTCTGGACACTTTTACCCCCTTCCTGTCAAGGCCAATTTTCAGCTTTCAGTGCTATTACACTTTGAATGACAATTGCGTGGTCATGCAACACTGTACCTATATGAAGTTTTTATCATTTTTTTGAGACAGATAAAACATTATTTTGGTGGTATTTATTCACCACTGGGTGTTTTTATTTTTTTATTTTTTGCTATATTGTGAGTGAATTAATGTACGAGTTTTCCGAGGTACAAGTCGTTACTCGGTCGATTTTTTTGCTTTGTTACGTGAGCAAAAAATTAGGTACGAGCTTGAAACGCCACTGCTAGATGGCGTAGTGAGCATTGATGCCACAGCATCCCCCAGCCTCCAACACGCTCTCTCATTCTCTTCACATGTTCACCTCGTAGAGTAAACACTGTGATTCGTTGTGCTCACGGTTTCTTGCTTTGTGCTTCGTGTTTTGTGTAAATTCCTTTTTCTAACATGTAACCATGTCTTCCAAGAAAGTGCTAGTGACAATGCTGAGAAGAGGAGGATGATGTCCATTGAATTAAAAACAATTGTGAAGCAGCAATTAAGTTTAGGGATACGTAGTGTACAGTAGTGATAGCAAAAAAACGAGTCTTCCATCCTCCTCCGTCTATCTCGTCTACCCTCCACCTCCGCCAGCGTCTTCGTTAGCTCAAGTCTTCTCATCTCCAAGGTAAGTACACTGTATAAAAACCTTATTATATCTTTACATACTCTTTCTATTATGTTTTTATACAATATTTGTTATTTAGAAATGTATTTTCCTTATTTAATAACATGAAACATAAAAATGTGGGGTGGCATTTTGAGGGTTGGAACGGATTAAGGGCATGTTAAGTATTTTCAATGGGGAAAATTGATTTGATGTGCGAGCCATAAAGGCTGTAAAGGCAATAATTTTTCCTTCTCTCTGGCTGCATTCTTGCAGCCACTGAGAAATACTGTGCGAGCTGTGATTGGTCACAGCTTGTCACATGGTAGAAGGCTGTTGTTAATAGCCTTATACCGTGTGACCTTTGTGATCATTCACAGATTTCACACGTAGTAAGCAATGATGTCAGACGTGACATCTTGCTTACTACTCTGCATGTGATCACTGATTGGCCAATCAGTGATCACACGATCAGGACCTCACACAGGGGTCCCATACAACGATCAGTGTTCCACTGTGTCCGGAGGACAGAGCGGGCACCGGATCGCGGTGCTGTGCGCTCCCAGGGAAGCGCGCATAAGCAGGGAGCGGGGAGGCCTTTTATAAACGGCCACCCGCCCCTGCACTGCTCCCATCTGGCCATTTATAAAAATGCGCCAGACGGGAAGTGGTTAATGTAAAATTGAAAGCTAAAACCTAGCTAATCTTAGCCCCCCCCCCCCCCCCCCCAAACACACACAATTTTATGCTGATTAATCTGTATTAGATACCTGCTTCAGTCTAGATGCGTGATGTGGCTCCCCTGTGTCAGCTAGCAGTGGCTGTAGGGGAGAGGAGGGAGTGCCGACAAGGGAAGGGCTATAGGAACCTGAGTGATGTTGTCGAGCTCTTTCTCTTCTCCCCTGCAGCCGCTGAAACGGAAGATCATGTGACTGTACCAGAGAAGCCTGAAAGTAGGGAGATTCTACAACTTTCTTACTCAGATTAGTCAGCATAGGTGTTAGGAGGGGAGAGAGCATTTTTAAGATTAGTTTGGGTTTAGCTTGGAATTCCACTTGAATTGTATATTTAACAGACCAAAAGGAAACACTAAAGTGGAACTGCACTGCACCTGAGTACTACAAACCAAAAATGCTATATAATTCATTTTTAATATTCAAAACAACCTCCCCCATCCATTTTTCTGAGAATATTTGTGTTTATTTTGTGACAAACACCATGGTTAGTTTGGTTGCCTTGCTGTGCTGAAGTTCCTGACTTGACTACACACAGAGCTCTTTTTGTTTAGTCCAGAGGCACCGTGGTTGGTTAAAAAAAATTACCATTTATAATGGACCCTGATGTGTGTACATGTGTGTTTTCTTCATGTAGCAGTATAATATGCTGAAACAATAACTTGATAATGACAATTGTGAAATTACCCCAAGGCCCTGTATGCACTGAAATCAAAAACAGATCTCTTATCACATGTTTTTTGACCTGCCGAGCACTCCCTGATGCTCAAAGAGAAAATATGTGTGGAGCCAAATTACTCAACTCAAACCCTTATGTTCTTCAGTGTTAGAGTTATGAGACACGACATCATCCCACATGATTGGGCTTCCTGCAACCATGTTCTTTGTGAGTCTAACAATGCCCTTACTTCAGCTCTAATTTTGATATGTTGAACACAGATTATGATGGAAATATTGAATGTTACTTTAAAAGCATTGGTTTGTAAAGCTTGCTGTGCACTCTGCTCTTCAGACTAGTGTTAAACCTTAATGCAGCTTTTGATTTTCAGCACTCCTAAAATAAAGATTGGTTGCACTTACTCTTCCAGACCCTGAGCTTATATGAACATGCCCTGACTGTCATGTAAGCTAACTAAACAATCTTGCCAAGTTGCACAAACTGATAGGAGTTAAAAGTTTAATTTTTTAGGGTCCTCAGGTTGTCTAGCCGGTCAAATTAAAAAGGCTTTTCCTGAGAACTGCACTTTTTATGAGTTCTAGAATGACAGCAAGCTGTCACTTTGGGTCCCAGAAAAATGGCACACTGACACGTCATGTAATCATGAAAACGACTAAGCAGCCCCATGATTCTGATGTTTTGCACACATTCATTTTAAACACGTGAAAAAACTTGAAACATTTTATTCAAGTAATTTTTACAAGAATTTGCAGTTAGAGTAGAGGCAAGGCAACACATAAACATCAAAGGAAATAGCAATTACAAAGACATAGTCAGTGTTATAAATAAGAGACTTTTGAATGTCAGAGTTCCAAAGTTTCTTTTTTTTTTTTGCAAAGACAAAGAAATGCAAAGCCAAACTGTGTTTCACAGAATCTATTGTATACATATATATATATTTTCTCTGTTTAAGTAGCATAGGCTTCTATGGATTTAATTCAAGTTACAATTCAGCACCTTTTTAAGACACTTTCATGGAAAATATATACAATGACCATTTTGTGTCTTTTTCCATTATAACAATAATGTTGTTGCGTTGACACCACAACTTGAGAAGTTTAACACTGCTGTTTCCTGCAAAAACTGTGTAATAATCACATAAACAAGTATCGTTATTCCATGACATTTGTGGTATGTGATTGCGTAAATATTGAAATATTGGGGTGCTGTGCATGAGCTTTGGTCTTTTTGTGAGTGGCGAGTCTTATTCAGGATAGAAAAATACAGCAGGATGGGATTCATGGGTTGTTATCTTGCAAGAAAACTGTTATTGAGTTAGAGGAGGTTTCTGACTGGTTTATAGGAGTTTTGGCACTTTAAGTCAAATTCCATCATCTGTGCTGTTAACAATGAAAACGTGGTCTGAGGTGAGATATAAGTAGCAAACGCCCTCTGTAGTAAATTCCATGCCAATTGATAGATGAACTTTCAAAGAACAATGATGATGTGTTAGGTGCAGTAATTTATAGTGAGCTTTGATAGCTGAAAGCCATAATCTGATTGGTAACAATATGTTAATCCACTTGAAGTTCTGTTTACCTACTTTGCTAGGACTGAGGACATGTCCAGATGGGTTTTGGGCTTTTATCAATGGCATCTGACATCGGTTTGAGACATTCTTTAGATCATTCAGAATTAATTGACAGAAGCATTTGACCATGATTATTAAGCCCTTCCTGGGGTGAAACACATTGGAGCGGGAGATGGACAGGGGGAGCTATTTGTTGTGAATACTATACTGATATTCAAGTTTGTTTTACATAGGTGACAGCATCAGCCATGTGGCCGGTTCATTTTTACCTAACAAGTGAAACAGCTAAGCAGCGATGTGCTCCTGGGCGTGCACCTGGTGAGAGCTGGAGGTACAGGGAAAGGCAGGTCTGGAGAGGAATAGCTGCTATTAATTCCAGAAATAGTGTGTTTGACCTGTTTCAAGCAGATTTTGAATTTCTATAGTTCTGCATAGGAATGAAGAACCCCTTTTCGTTGAACAGCCCATCAACACAGGCCCTAATAGTGTTACATGGCTCTTAATGATCTGTTAATAAGTTACCACATTTACAAATCAGTTAGATCCCATCATCTTTATCATCCTATATTTATATTCTTTTTTTTATGTCCCAACGCTATACTGTTAATTTTATCCATATTTAGGTCAGTGAC